CAGCACTGTCCAAACAGAGGGTCAGGGGTTTCACATCCTCCTAGAGCAGAAAGAAAACTCCTTCTACAAGAATTAACCAGTGCTCTGCTGAAGTCACAAGACTGCTCTAAATGCTGATGAGAAAGGTATTTAACAGTTTATATTTGCTAATATAATTGAATTTCCATGTTCTGTGTACTGTGGGAGATATTGTGAATGCAGGGTCTTGGGTTTAGTAACACTTTAAAACTAAACCTGCAGGGACTGCAATGGAAAAGCCAAAAAAAGCCCTGTTTCACTTAATACAGATTTTAATCTTTACCTGTGTAAAAAAAAAAGGTAGTCAGTCTGCTCTTTATTTTCTTTTCTTCAAATTGATTTATTATATGTGAATTATTTTGTGATATTAGGATATGTAGCTTTTCATATTGTCATTGACACACTTTCTACTGAATTGTAATGTTTTATATTTATAATTGTGTTTTTACTATTAAAGCTGTGCTCTTGATGAGAAGACTCAACACACTTGTCTCTACAGTATGTGACAAATCTTTCATTGTTTTACTGTTAATAAGTCTTTTGTGAAAAGGTTAAATTGTTATCACAGCAAACAGTAGCAATTCCATGGGGAATTTAATGTTTTACTTATTTTATTACATTTTAATGTGTTACTGCCTTGATTAAGGGCTGAAGCAATCCCTGAACTGCTGCAAAGAATACTTTTGTAAAACACATTGGATTATTAGACTTTAATAATTTCCACTTGAAGCAACCCTTGGACTCTTCTTCTATTGCATAAAAGCCTTCCACTAGATCTGAAAGCTTGCACCAATAAAACTGACCACTATTGTCTTACAAATATAAGTATATAAAGAGATATTGGGAGAAAATGATTGCCTATGGATCTACAATTCCATGAAGGCCCTACAAGCCAAAATTGTATGAGCTGACGGGCACACTGGAATTTGTAGTTACACAAAAGCTAAAGCCCCCTCAGGGGGCATGGAATTGTTGAGAACTGTAAAAAAACATAACAACGGGAGCTCGGTGAAACATTATCACATATCATTAAGAATGAGCAAAATTAACATTTTTCTTTTGCCCAAAATCTGTAGATTTTAGCTAAATGTTTTTATTGTGGTGAATGCATCGATATATGTACCATCCTCATTACCCTCTTTGTTTTTATTTTTTACAGAAAGAATAAATAAAACACAGCTGACAAATTAAAGGATGATTAAAAATTATTGATAAATAAATTTGAACATAATAATATGAAAAAGATACAAATATGAAATGAAAACGCACAAATGGAAAGAACCCCTTTCTCACCCACTGTCTATATTTAAACGCTCCACAGCTTGATTCCCAGTTCTGTAGACACATTTATAAACCTTTGATTGCAGAGCCAGCAGCTGCCACCAGTGTTGTATCCAACAGCAGTTGCTGTCAGATACAGCAGTTGGGAACCAATCATCATGTTTCTCAAATGTGATCACTATAAAAGCATAATGATCACAGGATATTTTTTACAAACAAGCCAGTGCTGGCTGGCTCATCTGTCATTGTGCCTTTCATAGAGAGAGGCAGTTTACCAATGGCACATGGTAGGCTCTAGCTGGTAAAGTAAAAAAAAGCATGCTTGTAAAAATTGAAAACATTTTAAAAGTTTAATAAAAATTTATTATACAATGTTATGGTAACATTGCATTTTTTCACATTCTTGTCTGTTTTTAGTTTGCAAAAAAATTCTTAGCAGTGTATTTATTAAAATGTTGTACTAATTTTAAACAAAACATAAGTGCCCTTAAAAACAGTGAAATTGCTTAAATGGGCAGATTTTGAAGTTTTATTCAAGGTATGAATGCTGCTAAATTTGACCTGAATATCTAGTCATTGATGACCCCTGGTCACAAAGGGGTTAAATAAACTTTATTTATGTAAATTATATTCACATCCAAGGCATTCCCCTGGATTATCCTTACATCATTACATTCCTGATTATGAATAAAAATCCTAAAATTAAATATACTGTACAGAAGTTGTAGTCCCATCCAGCACTACACATAAAACATCCAATATTATACGAAAAAACCTGAAAAACAAACACAAACAATTAAATGCATATATTTTCCTCAATCTATGTAATGTACTCTCCCTAGAGTTTCACTTAAGTTGTACGTCCTGATGAAAATAACTGCTTTGCAGCTTGGTGGTGCAGAAGGCAATATTTCTGAATCACCTGCCAGAGGGTAACAGGTTAAGCAAAACATTACTTGGCTGGGAACTCTCTGTATGGATTTTATTTCCTGGGCTGTGCAGAAACTTTGCCACAGAGTAATGTTACAAGTCAGCATGATCTCCATGGCACCCCTGTAGAAACTGAGGACCCTCTCTAAGAAAAAGAGGAACAGGTGTTTAGAGCTACCACCTCCTGAGTCATACTCTGTTTCCAAGCAATGGATCACAGCCTTAAATGTTTCTGAAAACTCCATTCTTCAATGAGGAAAAGTAGTTCTTTATTAATTATGGACTTAATTACAATCACAAACAGCCATATAAAACCAATGAGTTTCAGCCCTCAGGTCTTAGTCATGACTAAGGCCTGAGGTCTGAAACACATTGACTTTTTATGGCTGTTTGTCACCATATTAATAAAGGACTGCACATTTTAGTACAGGCTCCAGCGTTTACTTATGCCCACTAAGAAAAAACAGAACTCTTTAGCTTCCTCAAAAAAGAGAGGATGCATGTACTGACTGTGACGAACCGTCCCTTTGTGATAACATTTTGCCCTTTCTGTTTCAGTTTTTTCCCCTTTGAAAAGCTGTATATGTTTAGCAGCTGTTATGTAGACAGACATTCTACACTGTTTGTTTAGGGAAATGTCACCTTGTAGTCTTTCACTTCTATAGAGTTCATACTGTATTGTTGTGTTGTAGGGTTTTTGTTGCTGGTGGGGAAAACCCGGTGCCAGGCTTTCTGGTGGGGCTGGGGGTGAAGCTGTATATACTGAGCTGGGTTTAATAAAAATTGATTCATTTCACCTTACACGAAGTTCCGACTCGTGGTTTGGAATATCAGGGAAGGTGTCAGGGCTCCCAGGTATGACCAGAGATGTGTGACTGATGCAGGGAAACGCAGACTTCAGATATGTGATAAACAATACAATTTATTAACACTAACCATACAAACATAAACGCAGTGCAATACTAAACATAATACAGTGCAAAACAAACCAACCAACCACCCACAGATAACAGTACATACAAGCAAGCGTCGTCAGGCAGGCCGGGTCAATATCAATTGGGCAGGTAGGTACAGGGGGAGCAAGCAGAGAATGGTCGGGGTCACAGGCCAGGTTCAGCAGGTAGCAAGCAGCGTAGTACAGAGGGTCAGGCAGAGGGATGGTCAGGGTCACAAGCCAGAGATCAAAACAGGTAACAAGCAGCGTAGTACAGAGGGTCAGGCAGAGGGACAGAAACAGGATGCAGGACAGATACAGGGCCCAAGACAAACACAACACCAAGGCAGAGTCTGTGGGTCTGGCCATCCCTTAAATACCCCAGCATCATCAGTTCCAGGTGTTAGCTGGCTGAAAGGTTGAGTCTCTGATTGCTGGGAGCACCCGCTGGCCAGCCCTGGTACTGCAGATCAAAAGGCAGGTGAGTCCCACCATTGCTGGCCAGTCCATTCCTAACAGTACCCCCCCCCCAAGGAGCGGCCTCAGGACGCTCCAAACAGTCCTAGCTGGGCAAAATGTTCCACCGCCCGGGTCTGGTAACTGGCGGGGATATCAAAGACTGGCACACCGGGCAGGACTCCGGGCAGCGGCACACCGGGCTGGACTCCGGGCAGAGGCACACCGGGCTGGACTCCGGGCAGAGGCACACCGGGCTGGACTCCGGGCAGAGGCACACCGGGCTGGACTCCGGGCAGAGGCACATCGAGCAGAGGCACACCGGGCAGAGGCACATCAGGCAGAGGCACATCGGGCAGGACTCCGGGCAGAGGCACATCGGGCAGGGCACATCGGGCTCCGGGCAGAGGCACATCGGGCAGGACTCCGGGCAGAGGCACATCGGGCAGGACTCCGGGCAGAGGCACATCGGATTACCAGGCGAAGCAGCAGGCAGCGGGCCACCAGGCGGAGCAGCAGGCACCGGGCCCCCGGGCAGGGCAGCAGCAGCAGGCACCGGGCCCCCGGGCGGAGCAGCAGGCACCGGGCCCCCGGGCGGGGCGACATGCATCGGGCCCCCGGGCGGGGCGACATGCATCGGGCCCCCGGGCGGAGCAGCATCGGCACCGGGCCCCCAGGCGGAGCAGCAGGCACCGGGCCCCCGGGCGGAGCAGCAGGCACCGGGCCCCCGGGCGGAGCCCCCGCAGGCAGGCACCGGGCCCCCGGGCGGGGCGACCGGCGTCGGGCCCCCAGGCGGGGCGGCGGGCGCCGGGCCCCCAGGAGGGGCGACAGGCATCGGGCCCCCAGGCGGGGCGACAGGCATCGTGCCCCCAGGCGGGGCGACAGGCATCGTGCCCCCAGGCGGAGCGGCGGGCGCCGGACCCCCAGGCGGAGCGACAGGTCTCGGGCCCTCAGGCGGAGCGGCGGGCGCCGGACCCCCAGATGGAGCGACAGGTCTCGGGCCCTCAGGCGGAGCGGCGGGCGCCGGACCCCCAGATGGAGCGACAGGTCTCGGGCCCTCAGGCGGAGCGGCGGGCGCCGGACCCCCAGGTGGAGCGACAGGTCTCGGGCCCTCAGGCGGAGCGGCGGGCGCCGGACCCCCAGGCGGAGCGACAGGTCTCGGGCCCTCAGGCGGAGCGGCGGGCGCCGGACCCCCAGGCGGAGCGACAGGTCTCGGGCCCTCAGGCGGAGCGGCGGGCGCCCGGACCCCCAGGAGGAGCGACAGGTCTCGGGCCCTCAAGCGGAGCGGCGGGCGCCGGACCCCCAGGCGGAGCGACAGGTCTCGGGCCCTTAGGCGGAACGACAGGTCTCGGCCCCCAGGCGGGGCGGCGGGCACCGAGTCACCAGGCACAACCGTGGGCTCCGAGTCAACTGGGATGACCGCTGGCACTGGGTCAGACATTGGATCGTCTGGCTGGACAGCGGGCATCGGGTCACCAGGCATCAGGTCATTTGGCTCGACAGCGGGCACCGCGTCATCTGGCAAGGCAGTGGGGGCTCCGAGTCAACTGGTATGACCGCGGGCACTGGGTCAGACATTGGATCGTCTGGCTGGACAGCGGGCACTGGGTCACCAGGCATCAGGTCATTTGGCTCGACAGCGGGCACCGCGTCATCTGGCAAGGCAGTGGGCTCCGAGTCAACAGGCACGACAGTGAGCACCGGGTCATCAGGTACCGGATTGTCTGGCTCGACAGCAGGCATCGGGTCACCAGGTATGACAGCGGGCACTGGGTCACCAGGCATCAGGTCATTTGGCTCGACAGCGGGCACCGGATCAGGTACCGGATCATCTGGATCAACAGCGGGCATCGAGTCAACTGGCCTAATAGGATCGTCAGGCTGGATCAGTTCATCATGCTGGGTAGAGGCATCAGGCTGAATGCCGGCGTCCGGCTGAGTAGAGGCTTCAGGCCGAGTAGAGGCTTCAGGCCGAGTAGAGGCTTCAGGCCGAGTAGAGGCTTCAGGCCGAGTAGAGGCTTCAGGCCGAGTAGAGGCTTCAGGCCGAGTAGAGGCATCAGGCCGAGTAGAGGCTTCAGGCCGAGTAGAGGCATCAGGCCGAGTAGAGGCATCAGGCCGAGTAGAGGCATCAGGCTGAAGAGAGGCATCAGGCTGAGTAGAGGCATCAGGCTGAGTAGAGGCTTCAGGCTGAGTAGAGGCATCAGGCTGAGTAGAGGCATCAGGCTGAGTAGAGACTTCAGGCTGAACCACGGAAGGCAGGCTCACCGGTTTGGATACTGGCAGGATGGTATTGGTTGGAAAGAATTTTCGCTTTTTTCTGGTTTTAACTACTGGAGCACTGCAAGTAAACGCAGGTCTGCAAACGAATGGAGCAGCTGGAGACAGAGAAGAACTGGAGGATGGAACAGGAGAGGGAGCGGTTGCTACAGAGGGCTCTTTTACAGGGTTAAAGGCAGGATAGGTGCAGCGAGTGGGAACAGGGTACTGACATGCGGTAGATAGCAGGGCAGGAGGAGCTGTTGGGAATGCAGGAATAGAGCTTTGAGGAAATAGATTAGAAGCAGGACTGGGTTTTTGTAAGCTGACTGAGGCTGGGTGCAACAAATCTGTCCATGTCTGCAGTATGGGTTGAACAAAGCTGAGCTTACACAAAGCCTGTCTGGTCAATGACTGCACTGCGTTTATACAATCTCTTAGTGTCTGTGGTGAACATGTGGAATAACGCTCCAGAAAGTAACCCACATCATCCTCTAATAACCACACCAGGGACTCTACCTGGTCTGCACTAAATGGTGGCAAAAATTCATCCCTGCATTCGGGGGAACCAGATGAAACCAACTCAGCACAAACCTCAATCAATGGCTGCACCTCAGAGAACTCTGTGCCCTGATCTACTAGAACATGAGCGAGCCGTATACATTCTAGCAGTTCATCCCGGGTATACTCCTTCAGAGTTTGATAAGCATACTCCCTGTCATCAAACACTAGCAGATATAAATATTCAACCTCATCAAGATCCATCCTTCCCATCAACAAGCCAAGATGGCTTCCCTGTGCAGCCACTTCTGGTCAGGATTGGCCTTGGTGTAATGTCAGGGCTCCCAGGTATGACCAGAGATGTGTGACTGATGCAGGGAAACGCAGACTTCAGATATGTGATAAACAATACAATTTATTAACACTAACCATACAAACATAAACGCAGTGCAATACTAAACATAATACAGTGCAAACAAACCAACCAACCACCCACAGATAACAGTACATACAAGCAAGCGTCGTCAGGCAGGCCGGGTCAATATCAATTGGGCAGGTAGGTACAGGGGGAGCAAGCAGAGAATGGTCGGGGTCACAGGCCAGGTTCAGCAGGTAGCAAGCAGCGTAGTACAGAGGGTCAGGCAGAGGGATGGTCAGGGTCACAAGCCAGAGATCAAAACAGGTAACAAGCAGCGTAGTACAGAGGGTCAGGCAGAGGGACAGAAACAGGATGCAGGACAGATACAGGGCCCAGGACAAACACAACACCAAGGCAGAGTCTGTGGGTCTGGCCATCCCTTAAATACCCCAGCATCATCAGTTCCAGGTGTTAGCTGGCTGAAAGGTTGAGTCTCTGATTGCTGGGAGCACCCGCTGGCCAGCCCTGGTACTGCAGATCAAAAAGGCAGCTGAGTCCCACCATTATTGGTGAATTCATTCCTGAGAGAGGGTGTGTTGCACTTGTCTGCTGAGCTCCAGAAAGGCCCGAGAAGCCTGGGGCTAAAGTGCCCTGCCCAGCCCAGGCAGGATGGCGGATCCTGGGCCTGGGTCCAGCGGGGAGAAGGCCCTGGAGGGGCCTAGTACCGGCCTCTCTTTTCCACCAGTAGAGGACCTGGGAATGGCCCCTAGGAAGGGGGAAGTTTATTCTGCCTACCGGGACCGTGTGGCCGCTCGGGCCAGGTTAATAGAGAAGGAGGAAGCCAAGCTCCAGAAGCTGACTCTGGAGCTAAAGAAGCTCCGGTCATCCTACGACCGTGTATGGTCTACTAAGCGGCAGGCCATGAAACCGGACCTGGAGGCGCTGGAACTTCGTGTGTCACAGCAGGGGAGGTATGTGGCGGCGCTGCAGCGCCAGAGCGGCGTCCTAAGCGAGAAGTATCTGAATGAAGCGAGATTTAAGGCTGCAAGAAGCCGCAGTGTTGCGGCGATGCGGGGTCCGGTGGAGGAGGCCTCTTCGGTGGAGGAATTGTCGGGGGAGTTGCTGGTGGAAGGCGAGCAGGGGCAGGTTGAGCCCACAGCACCCTCAGAGGAAATGGCGTCTATCATGGAAGACAGCGTGGTGGCAGGATCATCAGTGTCCCTCCCCCCTGGGCAGCTGCCTGTGGATTGGGGGACCCAGGTGGAGGAGGAGGAGATAGTGGGCGGATTGCAGTTCCTGGCAGAGGCGGTTGCAGAGCTGCGTGGAGCCGACTTCAGGTTTACGTCCGAGGACTCAGAGGAAGAAGCTGAAAGTGATGTCATCCCCCGCAAGCCGGCTAAGCCGTGGTGAAAGAGCATGCTGCCTTTGTCATGCTGCAACGCATCCCCAAGGACGTGTTGGCAAAGGCAGGGGAGCCACTGGAAGGGGAGAAGGACTCTGCTGATTGTGTTGGTGAGATGGTTCTGGACACTGGGGTAGCGGGTATAATGCCTGCAAAATTGTCTGAGCTGCAGGTTAGCCCTACAGTCCTGGCTAAGGGTGTTTCCCCTCCGTGGTGGTCCCACTGGGCCCCGCCCCTTTGGGGGGCATGGTGGCCTCTGGTGTGCAACCAGCAGGTCCCCCGGTTTCTCCTCAGGGGGCTCCAAGTTCTCAGGTCCAGGCTCCTGCGGGTCCGGCTCAGGTGGGTTCTCCTGCTGGTATGGGTGGTCCCCAGCCCCGGGCTCCCCCAGGTCATGGCTCATCAGCATCTGCCCCTTCAGTTGCTGCTGCTGGTGTGGCGGCTTCCCCTGGTCATGCCCCCTTGATGTTGAGTGCCCCTGGGGCTGGATCGGGGCTCAGTTACTCTGCTGCAGTTAGGGGAGGTCAGGGGTCAGTGGGATCGGCCCGGGCAAGGGCAGGTAACCTACCCACTTCCGCCGCAAGGCGAAATGTTGTTCAGTTGAAATGGTCAGGGGAGGGCCCCCCCTTAGCAGGAGAGAGGTCATAGACCGCATATTAGAAATGGGCTTCCATGCCGCAGATATTTTTGCGTTTATTGCTCCAGTTGGTACTGGAGAATATGACGTGTCCTTCATGCGGCCAGAATTGTTGGACCTCTTTTGGCAGAGGTATGAGGCCACCTTTGTCACCAGCCCTAGGTGGGTGGGCCTAACCCCGAGGCTCGTCTCTCGCCAGTCCCTGATTAAAAAAATAACGGTGCTGGTGAGAAATGAATCCATCCCTGCATCAGATATTGTGGTCTGGCTAAGCAGATATGGGGATGTGATGGGGCCCCTTGGGAAGATCAAGGATGAGAGGGGAATATGGACAGGTGGGTGGACGACCACCGTCCGCTTAAAGGTGGTTGGAAATGTGCTCCAGCACATTCCCTCTTCCGCTTTTCTAGGGAAGGACCGCCTGATAATTTTTTATGCGGGTCAGCCGAGGGTCTGCCACCGGTGTGGGGGCAAGGGGCATTTTGCGGCCACCTGCCCCGTCATTAGATGTTCCCTGTGTCAGGAAATAGGACACCTGGCCAGGGACTGCAATGTTGTCCGATGCAATCTCTGCGGGGAGCTTGGGCATTCATACAACCAGTGCCCGGAGGCCCTCCACAACCTTCCGGTGGGGGAGCTTGAAGCAGAGTTGGATCGGGTAGATGCTGAAGAGGCGGAGGCGGCATTGGAGAGAGAGCGGCTTCGGTTGCTGTGGCGGCCCTTGTGAGGGAAGGGGAGGTTTCTGTGGCCCCTCCTGTCTCTGTCCCCCCTGTTTCGTCTACCCCTTTGGAGTCCCCTGTTGTTCCCCCTTGTGTGCCGGTTCCTCCTCCCAGGACTAAGAAACAGCTGAGGGAGGCTGCTAAAGGGGCCGGGATGGTTGAGGCTAGGTCTAGTCCCTCAGTGTCTGCTCCCCCCTTGCTCTTGCCGCTGCGGCGGAGTAGGAGGCCCGGTAGGGAGTCCCGTGAGTCCCAAGGTTCTGCTCCGGTAGGGGCTCGGGTGGAGGAGGGGTGGTCCCTGGTGGGTAGGCGGAGTAAGCCAGTTTTGTCCTCAGCAGGGTCGGTGTCCTCTTTAGAGGCGGGGGAGGTGGCCCTGGGGAATAGGTTTGGGGCTTTGTCGGGGGAGGAGGAGGAGGGGTCAAGTGATCCCGCTTCCCCGATGGAGGACAAGGATGCTGGGGGGTCTCTTAAGAGAGTGAGGGACCCTGCCAAGAAAGTCAAGAGGAGGATTAAGAAACGTCCCTCTCAATTATCTTAATGGCAGTTCCCGCTCCGATAAAGGTGGCAACCATTAATGTTGCCAGCATAAAGTCTGTAAGTGCTAGAGAAACAGCCTTATTTTTGATCAGTGGGATGGAAGCTGATATTTTCTTTTTGCAGGAGACCAGGTTGCCCACCTGGCTGATGTCCATCTGGCCAAGCGTGAGTGGAGGCGTGGGCCCTCCTACTGGTCTCTTGCGGCTGAGCTTTACAGCGGAGTTGCGGTGCTTTTTTCCGGCATGGTAACGTGTCGGCGGATAATTGAGGTAGAGATCGGAAGATGTCTGATTCTGGATGTTCTCGTAAGGGGGCATGAGCTCCGTCTCATTAATATCTATGGCCCACAGTCCAAGTGGGACAGGAAGAACCTCTTTGCGAGGATTAAACCTTACCTCTTTACATCCCGGCTGGGTAGTCTTTGGAGGTGATTTTAACACCATTACTAGGCCCAAGGACAGGAGAGGCTTCACTGACGGGCTGGGATATGATAGCAATTTTCTAAATGCTATAG